GAACAAAATCAGCCAACATCCAAAGAAGAGCTTTAAATATCCTATTCTTGAAGACTGTTTAGAGAAAAGACAAGAAGGCTTTGCCTAAGAGAGTTCAAGCTTTAAATAACAAAGTTGGACTTACCAATTAAAGCTCATTAAAATTGTACAAAATCTGTTTTTTTCCCTTATATACCATATTTCCATGTATGTTTGTAGATGTGGCAATAAATTGCTGCACCCATATTCCAAGCAAAATGTAAAGAAATAAAGGTGGCTCAAGACTTTTGCACGACATTGTGCAGCAGCGTTTGGGAGTGAATTTTGATGTATGTTCTCTGCGCCTCACAGTGACAGTCCTGGCCATCTTTAATGAGCTGCAGGTGGACGTGGATCTCTACGCATTACTGTTTGGAGAAAGCGTGCTTAACGATGCCGTGGCCGTGGTTCTCTCCTCGTAAGTTGTCTCCTTTTTTTTTTGTTGATGGACCTGTGACCTTTTACTAACCTGGTATCAGCTCCCACTAACACCTTGTTAAATGTGAAACATGTTCGTTAAACTAACGCTTGACTTGGTTTTTGTCCCCCGCCACATGGAACTGCTGTAATGTCCACAGAATTGTAAATTTAAAGCGCAGGCAGATTGGAGGGGCCCGGCTCTGCGGAGACACTCAGACCGGCCCGTTGAACGGGTGTACTAAGTAGAGCATGGCATTGTGTGCTTTTGCAGTGCCTTGGGATAAACATGACAAATCACTGGCCATTTGTTTTTAAGGCTCTGGCTATTCAAGCAGAGATGCAGAACATTGCTTTATTTCTTCTTTTTTTTCTGTTATCGGTTAAATGTTTTTGATGTTATGAGTCAGCTAAGAGCACATTCCTATTTTCTTTGAAGATACTGTGGGGGCCAAGGGAAAGGCAGAAAGCCAGAATGCTTATAGACGAAATGCCTGGTGATTTGTTCTGCGAGTGTGGGGGCTGTGAAGAGAGAGGGTGAACAAATGTTATTTTACTGTGACACTTGGTTCAAATAGCTATTTATTATACAGCTATTTATTCAAAGATCTGAATCTCTTATTTGGAAATAAACGTTTGCCATGTTCAGCAC